GGGGGGATATATTACAATGACACCTGGAAGTGGGGGGGATATATTACAATGACACCTGGAAGTGGGGGGGGATATATTACAATGGCATCTGGAAGTGGGGGGGAGATATAATACAATGACACCTGCAAGTAGGGGGGATATATTACAATGACACCTCAAGGTTTTAGCTCTTTAGTGAATAACCCCCTTAGTTTCTGTGGAAGTCTATTCCATGCTTCCCTGTCTTTTACTGTAAATAAGCCTTTCCATACACAGAAGTTAAGCCTATTTTCTTCCTAGTGCAAAGAACGCCCCTCATCATTTGCATTGACCCTAAAGTGAACGATGTTGCACTAAGTTGACTACTGTATATGGACCAGTTGACCATTTTCTACCAGTAGTTCTCCAGAGAGGATGTTGGTGACACCGACTGACATGCTGTGAAGAGGAAGTCACCCCAAATCAAGATGAAGTACAAGGATTAAAATATGGAACATCAAACAAGTAAAAAAGTAACAATTACAGCAAGAATTACCTCCAGGTATGCATTGCAGTCGTAGCTCCCACAGAGCGCCTAATGGATACGTACGGCGGTCTCCCTTTTAACCTTGTAATTCAGGAATTCGGCAGAACACAATGTCCGTGCTTGGTTTAACTCTAACCAAAGTTGTTTTTGCGCGGAGATGCTTCAAATCTTGTTCTCTTCTTGGTACTTTATAGATTTTCCTTGCTGCATAGCAAACAAATCAGTCAAAATACCAATTCTTTCCTAATAGCCTTTTAAAGGAATATAAAGGTAAATGATGAATGGTGAAGAAAGGAGCTCAGCAGAGCAGAAGACACAGGCACCAGGCACGATATATGTCATAGGCGGTTAAACTCTGTTGAAGTGCCTCTTCCACGCGCTATTCTTCACACCGCTTAACGTGAAAAGCTTCTGATTCTTCAGGGAGAAAGACAGGTGGGCAGTCCAATGAATCAAGTAAAGCACCGAGAGGAGACTTCTTCTCATACATCTCATACACGTAGAAAACAAGCAATGTCTTCCTGGACTTCTACACTGAGGAAAAAAACACACAAAATATGTTATCCGCAATGGGGATCGTCATGTTTATGGTTTTAGGACAAGACTAGATTTGAGTACTGGATATCGTCCCTGACACAACCACTCAAATGAAGACAAATAGGTCTGCCTTACCTGTAAATGTATTGTCCTGTAATAGAGAAGTCTAGTTCCCTCCCTCGCTCCTTCCTATCTTCCTTACTTCCTCCCTCCCTCTTCATTCCTTCCTTTTTTCCCTCCCTCCCTCCCTTCCTTCCTTCCTAGTTCCTTCTCTTTCTTTCCTCCTCCCTTTCTTCCTTCCTCCCTTCAGTCAGTGACAGCCAGAGGCTGCGGAGGAGGAGGCAGGGCCCGCCAGGGACCGTGGGGGAGGAGGAGGCAGGGCCTGGCGGTGGAGGAGGCATACAGCGGTTTAGGGCTGACAGGTAAGAGGCGTGCAGGGGTGTGACCAGCCCACCTGAGACCCTGCAGAGCTCATCATAGAGAGTCTATGGTGGTCTCTGCAAGCTCACTCTCAGGTGCGCTGTGTGGGATCTCAGGTAGGCTCTGCAAGGGGCATAACTAGAAATCACAGGCCCCCATACAAAATGTTGCTATGGGGCCCTGTTATTTCTAGTTACACCCCTGTGAGTGGTCAGTGGTGTTTTCTCCCCAAACCATTGATGGTCTGTGTGCTCCCTAGTTAACCCCTTGTTGCTCACTGTACCCCCTTGCTGTTCAGCATGACCCCTCAGAGGGAGCACTGTTACCTACAGAAGCAATCGGCAGCAGAGGAGGAAGGGGTGGGTTTGTTTACCTTTTTTAGTCTACATTTTTGATTGCTGTTGTTGGCTATCACAGCAATTCTAAGGCACAGAGCCACTCTCATCTGATCTGTGTATTTAGCTTGTGATCTAAGCTGTCTAATGACAGCTCAATCACAGGCATCCAAAGGTGGTGCTGGCCGTCCATGTGTGTTTTCTGCAGCGCTCTTTTTGAACGTCGCTCCAGAAAACTGGGCCCACCTCTCCACTGTTTTTTATTTTTTTAACTACACATATTAAGGTGGTTAAAAAAGACGTAAACTGTAACTGGATTACAATTGGCATGTTGCCTCTTCCCGTCCTTACCTCTCCTGTCACCACCTCCACAGGTGTGGGACGAGAGGTGCACGGGTAGCCCCCTTCTCAGTTGGGTCTCCTTTCAGCTCCGTGATTATGTTTTATGTTTTGATCACCATTACACAGATGAATTAGAGTACCTACAGGTTGCCGACAGCTCCCATAACAGGAATCAGTACGTAATCCTATCCTATGTAGAATGTCTGGGGTGCCAATTTCATTGTTAAAGACACAGAGCCACTGGTTTTTAAAGTTTTCCTAAAAGGTGGAGTTGGGCTTCAAAGAACACTCTTAGAGGGTTATTCACAAAGCTGCCGAAGGCAACCGATTGAATAACCCAGCCGAAGTGAAGTGAGACAAACATCGTTCGGCTATTCACTGTGGCTCAGTACGGCTGATTTAAGCATGCTCTGCATGTTCGGCTGAGCCGAAGTGCAGAAGGACATTGACTCAGCCGGCTCAGCTATTGTGCTCGGTACCTCCGTGGTACCGAGCAGAATAGAAAACCAATGAAAAGAGTAAAAAAAAAAAAAAATTTGAAAAAATATTTTTAAAATGTATATAAATAGTCAAGTTAAAAAAGAAAAAATATTTGAAAAAAATGAAAAAGAAAACAATTGGGCAGGGACAGCTATCTCCACCCAACTGTTTCCTATTGGCCGGGACCTGCTAGAGTCTTCTAGCAGGTGACATCACGGCCGGCTCCGCCCAGTTGTTATTGTTTAATGACAGATCAGCGTCCCCAGGTAAACTCGGCCAGCTGTCATTTGTGGGGCTTACGGCTATCCTTCGGCAGCCGTTCGCCCCGCTTCGGGTCTCACTTCGGCTCAGTCGAGCTGAAGCATATGCCTTCGGCTCGGCTGAGCCACTCGGCTGTATGGGCTATAGTGAATAGTCCATACAGCAGCCCTTCGGTTCGTCTAAACCAAAGGGTTCCCGGCGTCTAAAGAGAGCCGAAGGATCAGCCGAAGCTACGACTGCATCCTTCGGCTCCTACGTGAATAACCCCCTTAGTCTTGTTTATTTTTTATCACAGTGAAACATTTGCATGTGATCATTAGACGGGAGTAGTTGCTTCTCTAATTACTTCTTTCAGAATGACACATTTTCAGTTTCATAGACTTGTTTCCAATCAATTTCACAGCCGAGCCGTCCTTTCTTTGAAGACGCATCACTATTATGATTATGCAGTGGCTCATTCATACACACAGGTCAACAGACTTATTAAAATATTCAATTTCAGAGGCTTTCAAGACCAGGTTGAAAAGGTCTATCTAATGTCTAGACTGTTTGGATGACCTAGTTGGAGAATCAAGCACAGAATAATTGTCAATGGGGACATTTCATAATCACGTTTCAAGTCTGCCTTTCGATACTTTTATACAAATGTGATAACATGATAGAGCAGGGCGGTGAGATAATAAAATCTATAAACAGTGTTGGCTGCATATCTTGTTTCACATTTCCTGTATCCTAAAATATAACTGAGGGTGGTGCAGAAGACCAACTGCATCATCATGAATGACTAGGACTCAATATGGGAGTTTAAATTCTGTTTAACATTGGAATAATATTGTCAGGATTATTGACATCGTATTTATGCTCATTCCGATAGCATTACTTTTGGCTTTTTTTTGGCGGATGGGTCTGAGCTCAGTCTTACCTTTCAGTACAAAGAGGCCTTTTCAGTACATGGAAGATGGCAGATAGCAGAAGGGTAGATCAAAAGAGACACAGGGCTGCAATCTTATATGGCAGAGCTGTGGATATTAGAATGTTCCATACTGGCATCTTTCAGCGGAAGGGGGGCCTGAGCCTGCATGGGACCGACAGAACCGATTCCCCAATAGGGAATCCCACCGCACTCCTGAACAAGAGACCCCATGTATTATGGAGGGGTGCTGAAATGGCAACAGGTGGTGCCGCCAAGTATTCAACCGACAGAACGAATGGTGACCAGCACTCAAAATGTTCTCAAATGCCAAATCCTTTTTATTAGATATAGCAGGTCATATCACCATGCGTAGCAACGATTTGTAACCCGTCCGGTCGCTTCACCAGGCAAACCAGTCTGGTCCCTTCATCACTTTGTTTGCCTGATGAAGGTTCCGGAACTTTGCCATGCTAGTTCATGTTAGTTTTCGATGAGTTTACGAATATTCATTGCGAATACCACAGAAGACCATATACAGATATTAATACTAAAGCTGAATCTCCTAGACCCAAATGGCATTCGGGAATCCGAATTTCCGAATTGCATTGGGGAGCTCCTGATTGCCATTCGAGTCTTGTAGCCATTAACATATATTACTAAAACTGAGGCCCCCAGACCCCAATGGCATTCAGGAGCTCCCCAATGCAATTTGGAAATTCGGATCCCGAATGCCATTTGGGTCAGGGAGCCTCTGCTTTAGTATTATATGTATATACACTGAGTGGCCAGATTATTATGACCACCCCATCAGTACTTGGTTGGGCCGCCTCGTGACTCCACGAAATGATGAAAGGTGATGCGAGGAATCTGACACGGCACTGTTGCCCTTCTGTTGTCTTGTACCAGTCTTGCCCCTCCCCCGTTCTGCCCTAACATTGACTAGTCGCTGACGGCCACAATTCACACGTTCAGACCCAGATTTTCGGCTGACAGTCCAGTCTTTAAACACTTTAACAATGAGCTGCTCTTGAACATTTAACAAATTCTGCTGTTTTGCTGATACTCGCTCCATGGCTCCGAGCGCCAACAATCATCTCACGTTCAGAGGCTGTTAAATCGCGTTGTTCCCCCGTATCTTCAGAAACAAATCACTTCTACTGTCGTGGTAACCAACCCGCTTCCCTATTTATAATGGTCTGGCCCTCTAGCAACTTCAGCGCCAAATTATAGCTAAATTGCCTACAAACGTCAGGTGGTCATAATAATCTGGCAGCTC